CTAGAATCTTTTTTATTGTTGCACACCTAAAGTAAGACATTTGATTCCATTATACTTTTCTTCTCACTACACTCTTTAAAACACTTTTTTACATTCACTCCATTCTTTCAGCTTGGCTACATAGTTGATTTTTCTAGTTTAATTACGCAGGAACATAGTAAGACTTTATGTAATTTCTCACCCATGTGCAGAATTCCTTGGAAATTGTTTTAAATAGTCTTCTTTTTATCACTTATGTGGCTCTTGCTATTCTTTGTGTTAATACTAAAATTATAGCTAATGCCAATGGTCTAAAATCATCAGCTTGAAGTTTCAGGATTGGAGTCGATCTCAATATTTTGGTCACTTACTGTACCTCAAGTCTTTAAAACTTACTGCTTTGATAAATTAATTTTGTTGTTCTCTTTTAAGAAATTCAATACCTTTTTTATATCTAAAGGCAGGAATTATGTTTATTTTATAGCAACCTATGAATTATCTTTGAAGAAAAATTAACTTTTAAATGTCATATTGATAAAATAGTGAAGAGAGATCTAAAAAATCCCAAATTTTCAGTCCTTAGTCCTGCCTGTATGCTCAGTAGCAACTGCATTGTTCAACAAATCAGATTATCTCTTCATGCCACCGCGTTTAAATTAGTATAAAAAGATTTTCAAAAATTCTCTACAGGCATCATATTTCTGTTCCTCCTTGACCAACTCAAAATTTAGTGGAGAAAATAACCAGTAAAGTATCTATTTCATATAAAATGTAAATTTTATATTTCATTTTCTATGTATTATATGTAATTATGTGGCATTTGTTTGTACAATTCTGGCTAAATGAATAAATAAAACAGTAGTGTATACAGATTTAAACTACTCTTAACTGCATATAACGGGCGTCCATAAATTACGTAAGGTATTTTGGGGTGGGTGGGGATCAAGGATTTGTTACGATTTCTTACACGGATGGGAGGGGTAATAGATCTCGTCTTACGTAGTATTCTTATTTTTATTTTTTGATCTTGTTGAATGGTGAAGTTTAGAATTTGGCTTCAATTTGGCGGTTTCTATTAAGAACGCTCATTGTACTAAAACCATCTTGTGTGACATGATAAAATAATAATGCTAGAAGACTCATGCTCTACAAGTTTTTTTCATGGGAGAAAGGCCATGTGGTGGTTTCTCTCACTCTTCCATGTTTTTTGAACATAATTGTAAAAAGCATCAAACCATGGCTTCTGAACAAGCTTATTGAGTGGCCATGGCCACCTGAAACCAAGTACAGTGGAACCTCAGTATATGACCTTAATCCATTCCTGATGTTCAGATTTATACCGAATTGGACGTATACCAAACCAGCCTTTCCCATAAGAAGTAATGTAAAAATTATTAATCCGTTCTCATGTAAAAAAAAATTGGCTGGCTTTAAACATCTCGCTTTCCTGGCTAGTTCCTGCTTGATTTTTCATGAGATCAGCATGTATCTTTTTAGTTTTCTCGCAAATACTTGCTTCCATATGCTGTCTCCAGCACATTGTTTTTCAGTTATCCAAAGCAAAAGCAATTTCGCAACATGATCTAATGTCTTCGATCTCTGTTTAGAAATTGATTTAACTCTTTTCGCAACGTTAGTGTTAGCAGATTTAATAATGTCTTTATTTTTCATGATTGTTGATATTGTCGTTCTCGGAATACGGTATGCAACAGTTAAAATCTCGAACACGCGTGCCATCTTCATATTTCTCAACAATCTCTTTTATCAGCTTCATTGTGATTCTAGTCATTTTTTTAGTTTTCTGTTGCTTTTCATTTGCCTTCTTGCAATTCATGATTAATTAAAATAATATAATTTTACTTACAAATTAAAATCAGAAAAAATTTAACAAAGTTATAAACCGTTGCACTGCGAATGTCTAGTCTGGTCTAGTATACCGATAGTGCTACTTGTTCATAGATGGCGCGTAGAATTAAGTCGTATACCGAACAAAAGTCGTGTACTGAGCAAAATTTGTTTCGTCCAAACAGGACGTTTTCTGAATTGGACGTATTCTAAAGCAGACATATACCGAGGTACCACTGTATAAAGATTTCTAATTTCAGAATAAGTGTATGATGATTGTAAATTGGACAATGATAGATCATATGGTCAACGGTGTCCAGGTTTTCTGTAGAGCAAAAGCAAGAGGCAGTTTCTGCCCAGCTGTACATCGCCAGGTAGCTTATAAAATTATCATGCTCAGTAAGTAGTTGAGCAGTAGCAAATGTTAAATCTCTTAAGTGGTGATGAGAAACTTGCATTCAACACTAGGAAAATAAAGTCTTGTTATTCTACCAGTTTTACTGCTCAACCATTGTTGATTCCACTTTTGCATAGCATTATCATGAATATAATTTTTAAGGCTGCTACAGTGTGAGAGAGGGATGTTAGTAGTCCAAGTCAGTGTCGTTTGCAGATGACTTAGCCTCAAAGTTGGCTTTTTCATTTCTAAGTATGCCAGTATGGCCAGGAACAATATATAAGTTATCTTATTTACACAAATTTTAATATGGTGCTGGATATATGCTATTTTATTGCTATTGCAATTGGGATTTAAGAGTTTTTAGGACAGACTGAGAATCACTGTAAACGTTGATAGATAGTTTTGTTTGGTAGTGAAGTGGCCCACTGAACAGCTTTGTAGTCAGCATCATCTTCAGCTTGATAGATGGAGGTATGTGGGAGGTATCTGTACCTTCTAACATATTTTTGGCAAAATATGTCAGTTTGGAGGAAGATACAGATACTTGGGTCCAAAAGCTCCCTTCTTGTCGGCTCATCTGTGTAGATATTAATGTCTGCAAGATTATCCATGGAGGAAGCGGATTACACCAAATAACCTTGTTTACAGAATGATGATCAGAAATAGTAGGGTAATTGCAATGTGGTATCGTATGAACAGCCATAGATAGGAGTAGAGACTGTTGCTGAGCCTTAACTTTTGTAGTTTTGATGTAGTAGTTTAGAACCTTTTCTACAATACATAGTGGCAAAGAAAGGAGCTCCACTAGTATCAGAGAGGCATTACTAAAAAGAGTTCTGCAGCACTTGGAAATTCTGATGGCAAACTGGCTTTGAAGAAAGAGTAATTTACTTGCTACTGAACTTTTTACTAGTTACATGACCACAGCCAGAGATCACATAAAGTAGCATTGATTGTATTGCCCCATTATATAGAGTTTTATAAGCTTTATTATTCAGTCCCCAGGTGCACCTAACATATTTTAGCAGCATATAGTTTATTTTATTGACCTTATCCAAGATGTAATTAATATGGTTTCTATTCTCTCTTGTTTTATATGACAATTCTGTTTACACGTGCACTAGCTAGTCGATCTGTCAGTTTTTTGCATCCTTTTGTGAAAATTAAAATTAATATAAAAATGAATATTATGACATTGATCGATGATGATGATGATAAAAAGATTGTTAATAATTTAAAAATATAAAAATTTAATGAATTTGAATGAACAATTTATTTAAGAACTTTATTTTTTAATTTGTTCACATAGTCTTTTATAAATAATAGTACATACTAATTAATAATTATATATTTTGGACCTAAGGTTTTTAGGGTTTATAAAAAATTTTTTTTGAATCTTTCTAAAAAATCATGCCTAAATATTACGTAAAATGGGGATAGGGATCAAAAAAAATATTACGGTTTCTTACACAGGGGTGGGTGGGGTCTAGAATGGCTGAAATTGCCCTTATGTAATTTATGGATGACCCCCTAATGTCTGAATGTTGTCAAACTACTCATAGATTGATGCATTGTTGATACTATTCATAATGGCAATAGTTGATATAGTGCATCAATCCATCTGACTGTAATATCAAATTTTCCTTGGTCACCAAGGAATAAAATACAGTAAAGCATCGATTATCCAACTCAATTGGGGACTCAGTTTGGTCGGATAACTGAAAAAATCAGATAACTGAAAAGAAGGAAAAAAATACATTATTAGTTTATTAGTATATCAGTATATCGCTATTAACCAACTTCACGTTGAATTTTCATCGATGCTTAGCCTAACAAATTTTTTTAAAATAATAATCGTCACTATTGTATCATTAAAAATTATTTTTAAATTATTTTATTGCTCACGAAACAAACAACCACTCATAATTAGAAAATTAAGTCTCGTTTAAATACTGGCCTCCCTTCAATGGTCGAGCCATTGATGCCAGCTAAAACACGCAAAAATTTAACAAAAACATGTGCATGGTGAAAGGTGTCTAATTTTAAAGGTGGAACTTTTTTAGCTTGTGTATCACCTAACCAAAAGCTTAAAACTTCAGGAAAAAGAAAAACAAAAACATTAGTGTATGTGGATCAGTGGCATGCGGTGACATTTGATCATAGGGAAGTTGTGCCGGCCCTGGATAGAATCGTTGAAAGCATTATACAATATTTTGGCACATAGCATCCACCAGCTAAACCACATGAGGTTGGTGCTCTGGAAATCAAATGCATATAATCTGGTTGCTTTACCCCATTCAAATATTTTTGCTGTGGAAGCTGTCCCATATTTGACAATACAGTGCTTCCATTGGGAATATGCATATAAAATTTATATTCAAATATACAATAGCAATCTTATCTTTGTTTTTCACATGTAGTATAGAAATTTGTAATAAATACATAATGCGGTTATAATAATTATATAGTAAGTAATTCAAAGTACCATACATTAAAATATAAAAACGTACTTTCACAGCTTCCATGGATGGTATGCCACTGATGTAGATATAATTTTTCTACAGGGCTGCTACAATTATTACATTTAATACAAGGCAATGGTCAAATTATGTTTAATCATTTATTAGTTAGTTTTATGATAACCAAATGTAATACAGTTCTAATTATTTAAATAATTAAAAACTAATGACAGTTCAATTGTACTTTTTATTACATATTCAGAAAGTATAGCTTCCACATTATAATTAAAGCCAGTCTTTTCTCAAAATAAGTTTACCTGAATAACTTCCTCTTCTAATCGCTTCTTTTCGTCTTCTGCATCTATTAAGGAAGTTTTTGCAGACAACAACTCGTTGTTTAGTGCTTCTGCCTTGTCTTCGGCCTGAAATTAGCAAAGATTTTAATTTAGACATTTGTAATACAATTATCTATTATTATTTTTAATTAAAATGTAAAATGGGATTTTTTTTGTTGTTTTAGCATCTCAAACTTACAAAAAGAAGTGACCATTGCAAAAATTGTCAAAATAACTTTTGTATTTGACATAAAATTTTCTAAATCATGCTTGGCCATATCAGATAATTTTTCAATATCATTATGATATTCCTTTCTTAGCATTTTAGTGTGTGTGATTACTTTCACTTCTCATTATGCTCACCTTTAATTTACTGACGGTGCAAAGTTGTCACTTCCACATGTGGTGAACCTTTTAAGTATATATCAATATCACACTACATATTCACTTTGCTGCTTTCTACAGATCTTCCATTGTCTGGACCTTTACTTGGAGTTTTCAGCAACAATTGTTTCTATTTGACTTGTATCCAAGGACTTTACAGGCATGTATCTTCATTATTAATAAACGTACTTCCATCTTCATGAAGGATTCAGCATTACATTTTATGGACTTCACCAGAATAATGCTGGGAATGTACAGTACACTTCAATGCACAGTTATACATAGACAAGATTCTTAAAACAATTGTTAATCTTTGCATTTAGTGACAGTCTGAGGAGAGGAAGTGGTCCCTATCCAGTCAAACTCCAATCACTACCATTCTTTTCCTTCAACAATCTATGCAGTCATCACATTTTCTCCACCTTTTGATATATAACAGATTATTCTCTTTTTGGGATTGTTGCTTCTTGTCTGAGATTTTTCATGGCATATTAAAGGCTAATTGCTTTGCTTTGCTTTTCTTTCAGACTTATCAATCTTGTAAAGTGATGACAGATTTACTTCATAATATAACTTTTATATTTGATATGCACTTTGAAGAGGGGTACAAATAAAAAAAAATACCCAGTCTTACAATATTTTTATATACAAATGAATTTTACAACATATTCACAAACATTTTTTTTTACATTAAAATTTAAATTGTCAAAATTAAATGCAATTGTATTAAAATCTTTCTAAAAGATCTTAAATAACATTTGTATATTAAGATTATTTTTTTTTTGATACATTAAAATTTAGTGCCATTATATTTAAATTATTTTTTATTAAAAAGTTTCTTAGAAATACATAGTAGCAATTATACCTGATTTTGTCATTTTAAACTTTTTCTTTTATTTATGACTTAACATTTATTGTAGTAACTAGGCCTACCTGATGTAAACATTATTATTAAATTAATAATATAACAAGTTAATTTTTTTGTAAATTATTAAGCATTTACTGATTTTTTATGTTTCTCAATTAAATTATTATTCATGCCCTCATAAACCTAATGCATCATTCCTCAACAGTATCTTTAAATTTGAGGTCATCTATCTCCCCATGGTCTGTATATTTATATCATGAATTATGTTATTAATATTAATTTTATGATATCCATATGTTCAAATATTTTCTCTTTAAAGAATTCTTCTATTTTTTCAAAATTTGTATTATATATCCTCTATTTTGAATCTTCTCTTTTTGTTGATATGCAGGTCTCATCAATAGTAATTATATACTTGCTCCTCCATACAACTAACTGGTTTTGGTGACAATTTTTGGGCCTTGATTCAAGCTTATGAACTTTTTCTTGTAGATCACTAAACTTCAGATCCTTTTGTAAAATATTTTGCACAAATTTAAGAGTCGGACGACACTTAATGGCTACTTTTCATTAAATATTGGGTTTTCTGTAGTTGTTAGGACCTTCACTTTATTGATAATCTGTAATACAAACCAGACACGGTCTTCTGATTATATGGTTTTCTCTATTGACAGAAGCATGTCTTACCAAACTGACATTAATAATAACCCTGCTCTGTTGAATGAAAAATAAGTGTTGAAACAGCAGAACTGTCGCTATGCTCCTGAAGGAATATTTTTAAATCCAACATCCACTTTTGTCCATGACATGTAGAATATTTTCAAAATGACTACATACATACATACATACATACATACATATTAACATTCTAGAGCCATGAGGTCAATTCATCCGGCCCATTGCCACACTGTGCCACAAATGAGCTAGAATATAATTATTTATATGGAAATATCATAGATTGTAGATGAACTTACACTTATTTTAATTTCCTCTACTTAGTAAGTAAAAATGTCAAAATTGGTCCAAATCTGATTTTTGCATCTGACAGTAATATAATTTTTAGGAAAATCAGCAAAATGAAAAATTTGGCAACTTTGAATATCTAAGTGCTTTTTTTGTAAGTACCTGCAATGAAGTTTCTAAGGAAAGTGATTACAAGCTTGCTGCAGTGATCATGTTTGTGGGTTGGTAATTAAATATGTTAATTTTCTTTATTTTTTGTGTATTCAGTATACTATATTGAACAAAATGGTTATGCTGATGTGCTCGTCATTCTGTTATCTGGCCTGCTGTGAAAATAGTTTAGAATAGTTCACCAAACTATTCAGAGTATTCTTTATAACTGCACAAAATACCTTGGATAGATAGCTTCTGTAAAACAAAACATTAAATATGCTTGACTTATGAATCTTAGGAGTCTTAAATGTCCTCTCCAAAGTTTGTCAGCAGATATACATCAGAATGCTAACTCTTAAATGTGAACACAATTCTTTTGGAACATTCATTTAATTATCTAATCAGATAAAATGGAAAAGTAAGTTTAGAAACTGAACAAGTTCACATAAATAAAATTCCTTTGATTCCACTCTTGAAATATTAGTTTACTTATGCACTAAGAAATTATTACAAGAGAACATTTATCTGGCATTTTTTCCAGTTAGAATTTATCAGTCTAGATCAGTGGTTCTCAAGCTCCTGGAATATCAAGAGGTCCTTGTACACTGTTCACCAAAACAATGTGAACACCTACAAGATTCTTACTTTCATCAATGTTTCATTAAACCTTAAGACGAGTAGCCTTTATTTGTCCTAGGTAGTTGTAATATAATAATTATTAAGAAGCTATTTAATTCATTATTTTGCACAGATAAGTGAAAATAGGTGTGTCAAAATGACAGAAATAGTCAGTTTTATTGATTCTCCCTGTAGTAGTGGTATAATCATATATCATTTGCATATGATCGTGAAAGATCAATGTGCCACAGTACGAGTTGAGAACCATTGGTCTAGACCAGGGATGGCAAACCTTTTTCATTGTCCGTGCCACGCTAAAATTGTCTAGCATAAATTATGATTCATGTATTATTTTTGACTTTGTTTTTTCTTTTCCTTTCACTCTTGATTGAGAAAATAATTATTATAATTCAATAAACAAAGAATAAAATTGATTAATAAAAATTTTCCTTTAATATGGTATAATTTTATAAATTATGTCTCTTAAAATTTATTAAGAGTAATTTAAATGTTTTACAAAATACACATAAACATTTGTTTTTAATATGATTTTTGTTGCTGCATATTAGATAAGGATTTTATATCTTGATTACACTTTATTTTTAAAAATATACATACAGAGCTTGATTTGTCTGTCATCCTATTTCTAAATTTATTTTTAATAAAATTCATTTCAGAAAATAGCAACTCCCGTGCCCAAGTTGACGAAAATATTGATAAAATTGCTTAAAAACATTGGCAAAAGCAATTGAAAGTTTCAGGAATTGCATTCCATGTGGTTAGAATTTCATCTTTGGCACTTTTATTTATTATACCCAATAATAGATTATTTTCAATTACTTCCAAATTTTTCTTAAATCAGCAAATTTTTGGTTCCATGTGGAGCTTGACTGGAAATCATTTGTCATGTAAATTTAACCAATCAAAGAGTTTTTTAAATTTAATTTATCAAAATATAAAAGAAATTTTGAAGTTTCTTCAAATTGTCTAAACTGTGTAAATCTTGCAGAAAATTCCTGGATCAGGGATTGAATTATCGCTGAAAACTCTGTTAGTTGCTCTTGATTTGGTTTTTTCATGACTTTTGATGTCAGAAAAAACTTTTTTGTATTCAAAAAATGTTTATATGAATTTGAAACCTTGTAGTTTTATGTTCTCACTTAAATGAGTTAAATATCAATCAGGAAAAAAGATAGTTTTGCTAGCATTAATTGACTGTATTATTCAATTATATTCTCATTATTTAGAAATAATCTAATTTCCTCCAAACAATCTACAAATCTTTGCAAAACATTTCTGTGGCTTAACATTATTGTTCAAAAATAAACTATTGTATGATGAGTTTACCTCGTTTAACAATTCCTGAAATTTTTCTGTTTAGAGCCCTTGCTGATATAAAATTGACTACTTTTGTCACCAAACTCGTATCATCCAAAAATTTCAAACCTAACACTTGCTGGTGAATAATGCGATGGAAACCAAGAATTGATTGTCCAATATGTTTTGTAAATAAATTTATAAACCCATTTTCCTGTCCAATAATGCTGCAAACACTATCAGTTGTTACTGATACAAGTTTGGAAGTACATATTTGTTTTTTGCCCAATGCATCTATAACTGCATTACAAATGTCTACTCCTTTGTTGTTGTTAGTGTTGATAAACTTATTAATTCTTCTTTAATGTTATTTTGAACAGAATAACGTACAAAAATTGCTAAATGATTGAACCTGTTACGTTGGACTCAAGGCAAATAGATATAAAATCTTGCAATTTTATTTCCATTTGTTGTTGAAAGCTTACATTTTCTGCCATTCCCAAAATTCTCTTTCACCATATTCCTATCTAATTCTTTGGATAATTTTTTCTTTATTTTTGAAATCTTCAAATAAGTAGGGTGCACATTGCAACCAAAGCAGCCTTTAAAAAATCATCTTCATTAAAAGTTTTCCCGTATTGAGCAATAGCTTTTGAAGCTTGATAATAACTAGTGTTTGATTGAGTTCAATATATTTCATTAAGGATGTAGCTTGGGCATTTTTATTTTTGAAAACACATGATATATATTTTTTTCTCTCTTCTCAATCGAAGTGAAGAAGAGCATTGTGGTTGGTTTCATAATGTCACTTTACTAATGATGATCTACAAACCACCATTCCTGAACATAAAATACAAAGGGCTTTATTGTCCTTATTAATCATGCCATACCTATCGGTCCGCCAAGTTTGAAATTCTCTGCTACTACCTGTTTCTAATAATTTCAATTTTTTTTTTTTTCCATTGAACCAGCCATAATAAGAAATTCTAAGAAAAAAAATAATAATTTAAATTTAAATATATAAATGCAATAATTACCTTAAAATAAAACTGTAGTGTTTGAAAATAGTTATATTTGACATGTTAATGATTAAAGTTTTAAAATAACAAATACAAATGGTTCATTGGCAATGCAGTCTGTTTTCACGACTGACCACAGGAGGCATCGATCATACCGCAAAATGATATGATTTTCTAATTAAATTATTTTTTTTTGTGCGTGGCATCAAAATTTTCTTTTGTGCTTTAGGTTCACCATCCCTGGTCTAGACCAGTGATTCACATCTTTGAATGTATACATACAAAAATAATAAATTAAATTTTTAATTTATTATTATTACTAAATTGAGGTCCAATCTTTGGAAGCAGTTTAAGAGCTTGCAAAGTTTCACTATGAATTCATATGGACTTTATACAAAATGGTTGGTGCTCTTAGAAATTTTTCAGCAGTTGTTTTGTGAGTAAATATAAGTTATAATGTTGTCTTTGTTACAAATTTTTATTTTTGTGATTCTAAAATGAATTCATTTAATACAAAAATGGTATTAAGTCCTCATTATTACATAATTTTAGAGCAAGAATATTTGATTATAATAATACTTTTATACCAATCAAATATTTTACTATGTACATGTTTTGTAAGAACAGATTGCCACCAGAATTCAATATACAATGTTTTCCTGTGCCTTGTAATTTGGACCAATCACCTAATTTCATTAATTGTAATCTATGCTTAAATTACCAATTTTTCTTCATTGAAACCATTCTCTTACTATGTAATTTTTAATTGACAAAGAATCTGTAGATTAACCACAATTTCTAAAGAAAACATCATGACTAGAATCCTAAGCATCTGCATTCTAGTTTTGTGATATAGCTATAGTTAGTGTAATTGACAGTCATTGGATATCATTTTTTTTCTTAAAATGACAGAGTTGTATAAAGTTCTTTTCATAGCTTGCTAGTGCTTCTTCAATACATAACCTCGAAAGTATATACTGTATTTATAAATGAAGTACTGTATTATTAACAAAATCAAATAGTTAATGTTCTCACATTGGTAATTTTACAAATCAATATATGTAGAATCAAAGCACCATAATTTTCTAGGAATTATCACATCCACATACACTGTAATCACCAATCAACAACTATGTAATTTCCGAAATGGGTAAAACAACATTTCTCCCCAATGGTGGGTTTTCTTCCTTAGAAGCAAAATAAGTCACAAAACAACTGTATATATATGTGAGGGGCTAGCCGTGGGTACTGAGTAACTATGACCGTAGTATCACTTAATCGGCAAGTATTCTTTAGAATAGCCCTCTGTCTAAAAGGATGCCCTCGATTTCCTAATTCAAGGAAATTGAGGGCAGAATCCGATGATTGCATAATCACCTTTTCCTTATGTCAGGATTCCTGACACCAGTTAATCAAATTTAGATATGCAGATTAACACGTGTTCTGCTTCGTAGAGGGAATAGGTTTGATTCAGACAGTTGAGACATTCCTTTAACAATAATAAAACAAAATTTAATAAGACAAAATGAATAAAACTATACACAATGAAATAAGTAATCTAAAAGTTTCGAGAGAGAGAGCTCACAATTTTCTATTATGATCATACTATCTCTGTAGGTTTTCTCCTCTTCTTTATCTTTAGTTTCTTATACTTTAATTCCTGCAGTTCGTGGTAAGGTCTTGAATGGCACATAATAAAAATTTTCCTATCTTACTAACTTGAACTCATTATTAAAATCTGCGGGATGCGGTATGAAATACATCTGTCTTCTATGAGATTCCTTGGCATACTCCTAACTAAGGGCGTTGGCCTTAGGGAGCCAATATGGAAAACGTCTTCCTTCTATGGAATTTCGTGGCGTACTCCCAGAATCATGCAAAACTCTTTCTATATCTCATGATTTTCATCCAATCAACATTTTGGATTCTCTCACGTGAACAGAGAAAAAGAAAATATAACAAGGGGTTAAACAATTTCTAGGGTGCTGAGATTTGTAGTAGATAAGGATAAAACAAAAGGATGTTTCAACTTCCATGGAAGGAAGTGACTGTTATCAGTTTCCCACGTTTAGAAAAACACTATTTTTCTCTAAAAATTTTAACTTTGTCACAGGTTCTATTCAGATCTCACATACATAAATATATTGAATTGAAGCACAGTATATACTTTACTTCATTGTTGATACAAATTTTTGAACTTTTTTGATTAAATATATTCAAGAAAAGTTAATTTGATTTTTAAAAATATACTTACAATATCAAGGTCATTGTGCAAACTTATCTTGCATGACAACAATTCATGTGCCAAATCATCATTTTCTTGTTCTAGTCGTATATTACTTTCTCTCAAAAATTTATTCTCATTCTGTAAACAAACAAATAGTCATTATTTTGATAATATATTTGAAAAACTGAAAAATTAGAAACACACAGACATACCCTGGACTTACAATACATAACTTTGAGACAGCATTCCAATACAGAGTGCATGTAACTATAATACTATTAATAATTAATGTACAAATAAAATTAGCTATATATTTAAAAATTTTTCTCATTGTTGACAATACTCCTGCCCATTCAAGAATGTAAAACAAGGTTACTTTTACACTTTCACACTGGTGTGAATTTTCCTCATTTGGCCATCTAAACACCAGCCAGATGTTACAAAACAACCACTGTTTTCAAGGAGCTTGAGATATGTTGTGCTTGAATACTTCAAAGGTTGATTTTGTACAACTGGATTCATAATTTAGCAACCTGTAAGTAAGCATATAGAGGTCATCACTCATGTAAAGTAAGAAGATCTTTACAATTTGCAGATATATGCTTAAGTAAAAATACCTCATGGCTAATTTGTACCAATTTTGATGGGTAAATCTCAAAAGAGCACATCGAAAAACTTCGTCTTGGACACCCCAGAAAAAGAACAACAAAACACATGTCCAACCCCTGTCCAAACCTACCAAAAAGAAGAAAAACAACGACTCAGATGCTCTCTAAAAGGGCCAAAAAAAAAAAAATTGAAAGAAAACACATTGAGATTTACCCATCAAAATTGGTACAAATTAGCCATGAGGTATTTTTACTTAAGCATATATCTGCAAATTGTAAAGATCTTCTTACTTTACATGAGTGATGACCTCTATATGCTTACTTACAGGTTGCTAAATTATGAATCCAGTTGTACTGTATTAAGTGACCAAATTTGAAAGTGTGTCCTCCTACTGCATGCTATCGAAGCAAGTAAAGTTGATTTCATAGTCATTTGTGCATGTAGAGAAGAAAGAGGTGACTCCTACATCAAGGTCTCTTATGTCAGAAATCATAAATTACTATATACAGAATACAGTGGTACCTCACGATACAAAATTAATCCGTTCTGAAACTGAGATCGTATCATGAAAATGTTGTAATGTGAATCGTTTTTTCCCCATACAATTAATGTAAAACCAAATAATTCGTTCCAACACGAAAAACACACTCAAATTAAAGCAAAGTAGTACATTAAAAATAATAACTATAGTAAGGAAAACACAGAAAAATGCATTTTGTAGTTGTAAATGTATAAATAACCATAATAGAATAATAACTTTACACCTCCACCGACGTCTATCCTCAAAAGTAAATTGGTGGCGGAGGAGAGAGAGAAGGGAAATGATACTAAAACTTAACTTCCATAACATAATGTAATAACAACTTAAAAAATTAGTATTATTTTATATATTTTTTATATATATA